TCATCCTATTTGTTGTAGTAGCAGTAGTAAGTAGAGGTAGCAGCAGCAGTAGTACTAGCGGTCGTGGTAGTCGTAGTGGCAGTGGTAGCGGTAGTTGGTAGGGGTAGCGGTAGAAAGCAGTAGTGCAGCAGTGACGGCGGTCATGTAGGTTTCCCCATTGTGGGGAGTTCGGAAGCAGTACGCCGTTCAGCACATGCGAAGTACAAGTACAGGAAAGCCTGCAGGAGCCGCTTACAGTGAGCTGAGGAACCGTGCCGGCCTCTGCGAAGTACATGGGCTCAGGCCTTCCGCTTGCAACCTGGCCAGGACACTCTCAGCGCAGGCTAAGAGACGGCATACGACGGCCTCGATCTCCTTGGAATATACAGTAGAAGGACATAGCGCTGCAATCAACCTCCGTGCAATCACGTCGACGTGGCCATTTCCAGTTTGTCGTTTCTCACATCGGTTCTGAGAACGCAACACCAGCAACAGGGGCTTGAAGAAGCCTTCAAGCAAAATCTTCAAGCTTGCTTCGCTTTTAACCGCAACTCCGAGTGAGTGCAGCTGGCTAGGAGCATCACTGTGCGAGCGCGGTAAAATACACCGACACTGGCACTTCATCGCAGCCGTAGGATTCCGTGATAGATGCCAGGCTTCGGTCTGTGGTAAGGTCCTTTTCGATGCCAGGGCTAACGGCTAACTCAACAACGACAACAAGGGCTCACTGATGTGGTAGTCATGCTTTCCAACGGTTTACTGTAAGTCTCGAAGCTACACCGCTGCTCACTGCCGCTGTGCCGTGAGAAATAAAGCTTGGACCAAAAATGAAAAGAAAAAAGGCCCATCCGACGACGGCAATTTTGTAACATGGTTGAGAGTTGGCTGTTCTCTCATAATGCGCGAGTCTGTTCGAAGCCACGACGGGTTCGATTGCTTGATTTTTGTTTGCTGGCTTCTTGCAGTCTTTCTTCTCTCCTGTCTTGTTCTGAATCTCCTGCCGGCAGCGACCAATCCAGGGCAACACAAGTTTAAGTTGCACATCCCAGCCGGCCTGGCGGCGATAGTCAACGTTGTTAGTGGAGACGAATCGGCTGCGCAGCCGGGCTCCTTCCGAGGTTGCCGCCTGGAGATATGTGTGTTTTCTTCCGGGCTTTTCCCCATAGCCCGAGTTGGGCTGAAAAAATGTCTACTAATTAAAATTCCAGGTTTTCCGAAAAAAAACACTTAGTCAAAATTCATTTAAGGATATATAGTCGTTTGGTCCTATACATAATTCTAAATTGTGGGTGCGACTACAAGCTGTGATTTTGGATTTTCGACTTGACTGAAAGCTGCGATTATGGATATCATATCCATAATCGCAGCTTTTCGGCACCCTGGTATCGAAGTTTGCCGGGTTAGGCGACGAAGTTTGAGTTGAAGTTTGAGTCGAGGAGGATAGTGATATATGGCAGTGTATGTATGTGTATATATATATGTACAAAAAGTGTGTCATATGTGTATATATATATATATGTGGCATGGACCTTTAGGGTCTATTTGGCAAAATGTTACTGAAACACACACGGAGGCTTTGAGAGTACATGCTGCGTCGCGCCAAAAGAAAGCATCAATGCTGCAGAGGATGAAGAGGTTCTGAGGCAGGGGGGCGTTGTTACAGGCAAGCACTCATTCAAGGAGGCAAAGGCGGTAGGAGAGACAAACGCGGAGTCTGGAGGCCACAGAAAGCGTCTTTTGGGACGGTTTTGGGTGGGGTCAATTCTTGTCCAGCCATTCCATGCCAATTCCATCCAGCCGTTCCCATCCAAGCATGCCCTACATCGCCCTCATCGCCCTTCATCCACCCCACCCCCTCGCCCTTCGACCATCCGCCCTGAGAGGTTCGTTGAGAGCAAAGTCATTCCCAAGGCTCTTATCCCTTGCTTGGTCAAAGATCAACCTGAGAGTTTGCCTAAGACTTTCTGAGAGCAGTTTTGGCGAGCCCGGGAATGCTTTCGCACATCTATGAGAACTTTACGGGAGGGTGATGGGGGCAGGTGCTCATTGTTGACGGGTTGCTGAAGGGCTGTATGTGTGAATTGTGAAGTTGACACCCTTCACGGCCAGCCAAGTTGTATGTTCCATCAAGCCATGCTCGTGCAAATCTGATGAGAAATGCTTTGCAGGATCTATGAGACATTTCCGGTACATGCAGAGGGAGTTCAGGAGGTTAGGAGATGGAAGCATTCATGCAAGGATAGTGTGCTCTCAGCCGTCCCCCATCTGGCCAGCCGGTACCTAAAAGCTGGTGGTTTGGACGTTGAGACTGCTTTCAAACATCCCTGACAACCTATTGGGAGGGTGATGGGGTCAGGTGCTGTTGACGGGTTGGGAAGAAGGCCGTTGGTGTGAAGTTGAAACCCTGCACAGTCAAGTTGTTCCATCGAATGTTTCGGAAGATCTACGAAACGTTTTTGAGCCTTTTTGAGAGCCTGGCAGGGTACGGTGCAGATGGCGGAATGGGACAGACGGTATGGTGGAGCACAGACGGAGATGGGCAGCTTCAGAAATGGGTTGAGGAAGGGTTCATGAAAGGATGGCGCCCCCACCGCGCAACCACTTTCATTCAGCCATCCCCCCTTTGGCCAGTTGGTTCCTGAAAGGTGGTGTTTGGAACGTGGAGAGACTGTTCCCAAGCATCTATGAAAACTTTCAGAGAGGGCGGTGGGGTCAGGTGGTGTTGACGGATTGAAGAGGTGGTTGGTGGGTGGATGGAGGAGACAAAGAATTTGAAACTTTCATAGTCATAGAAGAGGGTGGATGGTTGGATGGAGCAAACAAAGAACTTGACAGGCTTTCATAGAAATACTCATAGTTAAGTTGCAAGTTCCATCAGGCCACGTCCCAGCAATAAAATTGCGAAATGCTTTTGAGAATCTATGACCCTTTTTGAGAGCAATGTGGAGAAGCGTGGAGATGGCGGCACAGAACTGCATGGCGGCATGCAGAGGAGGAGGAGCTCAAAGAATGGGATGAGGCAGGGTGGTACGCAAATGCAAGACTTCATGCAGGGATGACAAGACTTGCAAGAGTGAAGCATGTTGCGCTTTTCTGAGAGCCATGCGAAGCTTCTTTTGTGGCCAGTGCTTGGTGGGGTGAAAGTTTTTCCAGCTGTCCTCCCTCCACTTATCCACAGCCACTCCTCATCAGAAACCCGTTCCACTCGCCATGCTGAGAGTTTGACTCAGAAAGTCTGAGAACACGTAGGCGAGCCAGAGGTGCCTGATGAGTGGTAGCTAGGACGTTGAGAGTGTTTTTTTGTTCTTTGTCGCAAAACAAGCATGTATCACAATATCGAGAAAAAAAACTTGCATGAACAGGATCTGTAGAGTCTAAAAAATTTCCAAAGAGGGAGTCCACTCAAATTTTCATATCAAATGCTCGCTCAAACGACCGCACTCGCACAACTGTTTTACAGTGGCGGCATACGAAGTCAAGAGTGATTGATTCGAGGTTATGCATGCAGCCGTATGGCGAACATGCCCGCTGGACTCAGTTGTGCAGTCAACACCAGACTCGTTAAGGTTTAGGGTTTTCGGTTCAGAGCAGTGCAGCCAGGCTTTAACATCAAATCCACACTCTGCAATCCAATTTCTTGAAATCCTGCCTGAAGGCGCTTTCTACACAGCTAGACTGCCTGTCTGTTGTCGCTGGAATTGACAAAAGAAAGAAGAAGAAAGGAGCAGCTAGAAGCAAAGGTGTAAAACAAAAACCAGCATGTGGCTGATTCGCGTGCAAAGCCTTGTTTGCGACCAGCCAACTCAGACGTGCTACATCTTGGAGCCAATGAGCCAGTGAGCAAACGAGTTTCCGAACTGTTGGGCAGCGAGCTTCCGTCAGCGTTTCGGAACTGGTGGATCTCTGCTTCCGAACCACAAGCCTGCAAGCATCCTGAATGCTTATTGAGCACTTGAGGCGTAGCGGTCCAGAGCAACACTCAAGAAAGAAAACAAGTGTCTTTCCAGCAGAACACATTAACACCGTCACCAGCTTTCTCCTTTGTCCATCTGTGGTTTGCTACAGGTATTCATGCCCTGCTATAACGTTTCCATGTTCGATCAGATTGAAGACTTTTGAGCAATTCTCGGCTCCAAGACATCCTGTCTTGTAGAAACCCGAAAAATCTGGCTGACAAACAACAAGCATTTTGAACATCGATGTCGAATCGCCAACCACAAGTCCAAGCTCGGCCTTGGGTCCTTGTGGGGCCCCGGAAGTCTATGTTTTGCCGCATGCTGTCAGAAGCAGGGGCAGCCAAACCACAGATGGAACAAAACGTGAACCCATCCTGGACGGTGTGTGCACAACAAACATGCTTTTGCTGCTTGGAGGTTTTCAAGCAAGGAGACAGGGAGGGTTCTGAATCCCATGGATCTGAAATTTGCACAAACATAAACTTGGCAGGCCAGCAGCGGCAAGAGAGGGCCAGCGGAAAGCACATAATCCACACGATCGGGGGAAGCATGCTTGCAAAGCAAAGGATGTCATGCAGTATGTGAGAATCCAGAATCAAAGGCATCGGAAGACCCGCTGATTCACGCATCCCCGCATCATTCTTTTCCATCAGAGTTGTCACGACCAGTGTGTGCTTGCGTCTGGAACAGTTGCAGGTTTCCTTGCACGGTTGCTCATGATTGTTCGATTACGCGAGACAGACCTGTGTACAAGGTCCACATTGCGAGTTTTAGCATCGCAAGTTGCACGACGAGTTGGGTCTTTGACGGCCTTTTCTGTTGCGGTAAGTATGGTAAGTTGCGTATTGAAGCGGGCCGACAATTCTCACATTCCCTTGCTCAGCAGAACTGTGTCTGACAAAAGATGTGTTGTAGACAATGCAGAGAGATAAATCATCATTTTGCAGACAAGTGCATGAAGGTATTCTACAACCAGCCAGCATTAGATAGGTATGTACATGTATACATATGTATATGTGTAGGGTGTGTCGCGTGAAGTAGTTGAGTTTGCTGATGCTGGTGGCCATGCGCGCGAACGGCTTCGCAGGTTGGCTTTACGTGCCATTGGCGCTGCTTTCGCGAACGCATGTTTTCGCTTCTGACCTGTGCCTGAGGTCAGGTATTGCTAACGAAAGCCGTGCGTACATACAGGACGAGCGTGGACAAGATCTCTCCATAGGCATCTTCGCATACAAGCGATCATCTTCCCTTGTGCAATCGCACATTGCCGCCATCTTGATCTCCGAGCAGTTGGGCTACCATGTGGAGCTCAAGTACGAGAACCTGGGGCCATTTGAAGCGCAGTCATGGCTGTCGTGCAAAGATCTGAATTTTAGTGCTGGATGGCTGTCTGATTCTCTGTGCATCCCTGGCGAGAATCGAGCTCACATCGCTTTGGACACAGGCCCCCGCCCCATCTGTCAACACTCAGTTCCATGAGCCTTTTGCACACGAACAAACATCGTGGAAGCCCACAAGCCTTGAAACATGCGGAAACTCAGACTGAAGAAGCCAAAAAGCCCACCAACCAAATTTTCGGAAACGTGCCGCCCTGAAGCCCCGTGCCTACGCAGCCGCAGCTTCGGCTGCTTCACCAGAGATTGCCCTGACGGTGAGAGCGCAGGCTTCGGGGCTCTGCCCTACGAGCTCTACTTTACCAACCTTTTCCGGTCGCTGGAAGCATGCTGCCAGCGAAGCCCGAGGGATCTGGGCTCCATGGGGCGCTTTGCTTGGAGAGTGTGGTAAAGGTTGTTTCAAGGGCCGTTTTGGGTTGAAACTGAACCTTTTAGGCCTCAAGTAGAAACCATTTGATCAACTCAGCCGCACAGCCGATGTTAGCAGAAGTGCTGCAGTTTGTGAAGCAGTGTCAACACCCCGACGATCAAGAGCAACAGCCTTCTAACACCACCAACTCGAAAGCAGCCCCCCGTTCCTTGAACCCTTGAATCCAGAAGTTCTTATCGATGGGTGAGCCTTGCCAAAGTTTAACCCTCTCATGACACTGGAATCCGTAACCGTACTTGCCGAGCTTCACAAGTTCAAGGCCCGGTAACTACGGAGTCATCCCTCGACCGAAATCAGCCAACGTGAAAGTTCTCTTGCCATATCACCTGCAGCTTCTCAGGTATCACAGTCGAGAGCGCATCTTCATGAAAAGATCTCAGGTAGACGTGGCTTTGCAGGACCGGGAGATGTTCCCGATTTTGTGTTTGTGTGTGTGTGTGTGTTTTTTTTTTGGGGGGGGGGCAGACTTTTGAAGGTCAAGGCTGGGCCCAGGGGTCTCAGGTCGGAGCTTCCCTGACCGCAGGTCGTCATCTCGTTGCGTGTAGCTTGTTTTGTAGAGGTTTCTATATATATATATATAGGCTTGTGCCTTCGTTGGTGTCTTCCTGAATGAGTTGCTCAGAAGCTGTGCGCGCCGCTACTTCACCGAGGCCTGCATGAGCCTGCTTGGTGATATTCCCGTAGATGTGGTAGGGTCGGCTGCCTTCGCGTGCGCTGGGTTTGTGGTGGGATGGTAGGTCGATCATGTGTCAATGTGTGCGCTATCCCTATCCGAGCTCGCGTTTTGTTGGAATCCCAGGCGGATTTCTATCCAAGAGCTGGGATTCGCCTGGCCCCAGGCCCGAGGCCCGTTCGTTTCATTTCTTCCGGAAGAGCCCCCGAGCGCTGCAGCACGACTCGGAATCACGCTGTCGCAAGGTGGTTTCGCCGATGTGTCACTTCACCGTAAGCCCTGCGGTGCCTCAAGCCGTAGTATACAGCCGAAATAGAAAGCCCTGAGCCTTCGACCTCCAAACCTAAACACTGAACCCCGAGCCTGAAATCCGCCCTGAACCCTGTCCCCTAGAAGCAGGCAATTCGGTTGTTGCTTCTTTTGGACAGGACGGCTTCATCCTGAACTTGCACGGCAGCTACAACACTACGCTTCACGATCCGAGGAAATACTTCGATGGCATTGACGCGTTGAATACCACTGATCTTCTTCCCTGCAACCGCACAATCAATCGCAGGCTGCCCATCGCTCCTGAATTGGAGTCTTACGTTAATTGGACTGGCGACACAGGTGGAGTCACGCAAGACGCAGACGGAACCAAGACAGTCTTTTGCCCAAATGGGCATGTCTGGGTCGCACCGGCTTGCCGCAACAATGTGACAAGCTGCATTGCGATGGCGACTTTTTGGAGCTTGCCTTTGATCTCCATAATGCACTGGCCGCTCTTTCAAACTGGCCCCAAAGTCCAACATAAACCAAGCCACCCGGGCACTACCCAAGGCCCACGACATGACTCCTTCTTAAGATGATGTATGGGTACCTTTGCTGACCATATCCAGGCCTCCTGAACCCAGGTCCTCCCCCGAAGCGTGAAGGGCGCACAGCTCAGGGTAAAAGATTCTAAGCTGAGGTCCGCTGTCCATGGCCTCCCTCTGGCCGTGGGATACTACAGTCGAATCCAAGACTTCTTCGCCAAAATGCGAGACGGGAACACGTTGTTTTACTGGTGGGAGCCGGAGAACTACGAGTGTCGAGGCTGAACACGAGTGTTTGCTGCTTCGAGTGTTCCTTTCTCAAACCATCCAGAAGGCAAGAGAAATATGTCGTACATCCGTTCATCTCAGGTTTGGGGTGGACAAGGTGCCTCTGCTCTTCCCCGTCTACAACGCTAGCGAGTGGGCCGTGGGGAACCAGAGGACGGATCAGCCTCCCGGTTATGTTGGCAAGCTGGTGAGCTCGAATCTCCAGGCCAAGGCACCACGAGTCCATACCCTGATCGAACGGTTTTCTCTTAGTACCGGGATGTTGGAAGAGCTGAACCAGCTCCTGTCTCTCAGCGGAATCTCGGCCGGTGGTACTCCAACGGCAGGCGACGACGTAGTCTATCGCGCGGCCTGCGATTGGGTACGATCCAGCGAGTCTTTGTGGAGGGCGTGGATTCCCACGACGTGCGATGCAGGGTCCGGTCTGGTTGATGCAGGTTGGGATGCGAGGAAGATTTGTTGGTTCAATCTCTTCGGGGCTTGCGATCGAGACATGATTTGAGAGAGCCCATCCCAGGTGGCCAATATCTTCTCAGTCGTGGAGATGACGCTGTGGGTTGCAGCACATGTTCGTCTGGTCGTTTCTCGGAGCCTCTTCTGGATGGCCAGGGCTTCATTTACCGCTGTGCGATGTGCCCCCCGGGCACTTATCAGGAGTTCGCGAACCAAGTTGGCTGCAACGACTGCGCATTGGGCCGCTTCGCCAATGAGACGGGTGCCACAGCATGCAGCCTGTGTCCGTTGGGCACCTTTGCAGACCAGGAAGGTCGCACGTCCTGCGCCAGCTGCGGGGACAATACCTGGACCACCATGGATTTGGCCTTGGTGAGCAACGAGGGGAGCAGCGATGGTGGTGGTCGCTGGATCGAAGTGCGTGGGGCCACGTCCAAGGATTTCTGCGTATGTGTAGAAGGCCGCCATTTCTGGCAGGGCCAATGCGAGTTGTGCCTGCAGGGCACGACTTGCCTGGGGCCTACGAGCCTCAGAATCGACCCAGGCTTCTTTGCCTTTCCCGAGCATCCGGGCAACGTCTTCCGCTGCTTCGGTCTGGAGCAGCGTTGCCAGGGCGGCCCTCCTGGCAGCTGCGCAGCAGGCCGCAGCAACCAGAGCCTGGCCTGCGCCCAGTGCTTGCCGGGATTCCAGGCGCAAGCCGATGGCCAGTGCCGCGAGTGTGCGGCAGCGGACTTTGCCATCGTCTTTGGCCTCTGCCTGCTTGGGGTGGTCTTTGTGGGATGCCTGCACGCGTCTCTGATCGCAGAGGAGAAGTTCGCCAGCCATGGCAGCCAGCACGGAAGCCTGCTGAATGTCGCGTTGGGCTTGAGCCAACTGGTGACCTGCGCGCAGGTGTTTGGCGTGATGCGCAGATTGCGGATTCCCTGGGAGGCCTCTTCATGGTTCATGGGTGTGGCTTCTAGGGGGCAGATTCGGAACCCTCAGGGCTTAGTTTGAATGTACACCGTTCTGCTTCGGCGAGATCCCGTCAGCCGTAATCCGGAGCAGAGGCGGGCTTCAAAGCAAGCATTTTTTTTGGTCTTCATCTGCGCAGGAGCCTTTTTCGCTTCTCTTGCTGACATCGGAGTTCCTGTCACTGGATGCGCTGGTGTATTCTTTCAGCTCCATTCAATGCGTTCTCCCGTCCTCAGCAGTGGAAGAGTACCTGGCAGGCGCATCGTTGCTTCCATTGGCTTTCGTCTTGTCCTTGATCCTTGTGCATTCTGCATACATCAGCTGGCGAAGGAGTGGTTTGCGCCTGGATTCGTTGGCGAAAACCTGCGGCTCGTTCTCCATGCTCTTCATGATTTCAATCCTGTCTTCAATTCTGGAACCTTTCTATTGCAACTTGCATCCCAACGGGGACAGGACCATGCAGTCCCGTCATGACGTGCTCTGCAATTTCCGTGCAGAGCACCTGGAGATCTGCCTGGCTGCCATCGCCCTGTCTACGGTTCCCATTGCCTTTCTCTCCATCTGTGTCCGCATCATTGTCTTCGATCTTCCGAAGCGCATTCAAAGAGCCGACGTCGGCTTTGTGAATGCCTGTTCCTTCCTGGTTCTGCGATACCGTCCGGGGGTAGAGGCGTTTGCCGTGATTGTCTTGCTCAGGAACATCCTCGTAACCTTGTCTCCTCTGATCACATCCCAGGCCGGCAGTCTGCTGTTGCTCTGCACATGCCTGTACATCACATTCTGTGGGGTGGCGTTTTGGCAGCCCTGGCGGACGAAGCTGGCCACGTACACGGATCTGGTGATGCACGCTGGCTCTCTGCTTGTGTTGGACATGGGCAAGTTCTATGCTCCTGCAGCAGAAGATGGCTACACATTAATGATTATTTGCATCGTGGCTAGCGGTATCATGCTTGTTTGGGGCACGGTGGTTGTGCTTTGGGCTGCCCGGCACCGCTTTTTAAAGTGACAGCACTTCCGTTTCGCCCTCAGCCACCACACGCCCGAAGCAGGGACATTGGCACGCTTGCTGAAGATCGAGCTGCAGAAAAGGCACAACCTGAGGACGTTTATCGGCTCTGATGATCTGACCGATCTAACGCAGCATTTCACCTGCATCGCCCAAGATGTCGACACGCTGGTGGCCCTTGCAGGCCGAGACTTCTTGCTGCAGAGGTGGTGTGTCGGTGATGTGGTGACAGCCAAGGCTCACGGCGTTGAGGTTGTGCTTCTTTCTCTTCCCGGCTTTGTTATGCCGGATCAGCAATTTGTTGAAGCCTACGAGAAGTTCGTGCCAAGTGTGAAGGAGCTTGCTGTCCACGGAATAACTCTCGAACAGGTTCGAGACTCACTCACATGGTGCAGTTCATTGGAGCGCTTTGACGTCGTGGGCTGCGATCCTGAGATGCTTACACAGGCAGTCGGATGGCTAGTCGGCAATGACGCCACCCTAAAGCATTCTTCTGTCGTGTCGGAAAGCCGTTCCATGAGCGTCGAGGGGACCACGTACCTTATCTTAGCGGACACAACTCACATGGAACCTCAGGCCGCGGCTTATTCCCTCTACATGGTACTGGGTGCCAAGTTTTTGGAGCTGTCCTTCAAGGGATCGTTGCGTGTGATGCGTGCCGAGGATAGGGTCGACCCTCTGTCTGACTCGGGCACTACACAGGCTTTGCTGCTTTTGACGGCAGGGTGTTTGGAGATCCCTCAGATGGCCTCCTGGCTCCTGCAGCTGGGGCGCCTCAGCTCCAGCTTCGTCCTGCCAGTCGTTGCCGAGGACTCCTTTCAGTTCCCCGCCCTCGGCTCCAGCAGTCTGGCCACCCTCTCAGACGAGTTTGACGACTCTGACATGAAGCTCTTCACTCAGATCAAGGAGGCGGTCTTCCAAGAGATCTCCGTGCCTTTCATGCCAAGGCGCCGGGTGCTGCTGTCGTTTTGTAGCATGGGCTGGGTCATGAGGATGAGGGTGAGAAGAGATTAGAAGCATATAGGTGGAAATCATGATGCAGAGCTCTTTATGGGGAAAGCCCAAAACACTTTCGGTGCTGACACAGGCCATTGGAATTTGATGAAGCGATAAGGTACGACGAGAAAATACTTGGAGCAGCACTGCATGCACGGGTGGTTGCAACAAGAGCAAGCGAAATAGTGACGACAACTGCTAATGTACGGGTACCGATAACTAGGCTATCCCCGGTTTACTTGCAGCAGAAGTTCTCGCACGGTAAATCATGGGACTAAACCCTAAACCCTAAACCCTGAACCTTAAGCATTGCCAGGAGCTCCAACGCACGGCAGCTGGACCTCCAGGCGAAAATCATCGTGGAGCGCCTCTCCCAGACTCGGGAGCCCATCCAAGCTCGACCTTCCATGAGCGCCTTCCCAGGCGCGGAGGGGTCGGAAGGAGATGGAAGGGACCCTAAACCCTCAACCCTAAACCCTAAACCTTCAACCCTAAACCCTAAACCCTAGACGGCTCTCCGTTTTTCAATCATACCTGCTGAAATTGGCCAGGTGCCTGGCACAGCCCGGGTCTGGAAGATCTGCTGATGGTCGACGTGAGCTTCACGGATGACACGTTTAATATCTAAACCCGCCTCTTCGTGCCTAAAGCCCATGACTTCACAGTGCCACTGTTCTAGAGCGAATTGGTACAACACATTGGTAAAAGAGTCAAGAGAGAGGCCTGGGCACGCTTGGTCTCTGTTCTCCTGAAAAGGTCTGTCCAGTTACATGGGTTTCTGTTCGATGGAGCGACCCGGCTGTCATTGCACAGCCATCGGTTAATGACGGAGCGAGCATGTAAAGTAGTGACATGAGCTCCCAACTTTCATCGCTAGTATTCTGAGCTGTGGAAGGCCCGTCGGCAACCGACGCGGCCTTTTCTTGCACAGCTTGGGCTAGTGGAACTGCTGGCAACAGACATGTCGTCTGTCTTTCCAGCTTCAGTCTCTCTGTCGAAGCTTTTCCCGGGATGGCGCGTGTTTAATTGGTCATCCTAACATTTGAGTGGGACAGTTTGTCACTTCAGCATCCCCACAACATTTTCCACGCTGGTAATGCCACACACACGCGAACTGTCGAAAAGGTAACGTGTGTAGTTGGGTTTTTAGTCTTGACTGGACCAATGTTGGATCCTGTTCCACGAGACGGCACCACGTGTGCATCTCGCAGTAGACTGCTTACTTACTCGACCAGACAACAGGTCCCCAGTTCGGCCTCCGTTCTGAGCCCCCCATACAAAGCCAAGCACCTTTCCACCGAGCAAGATACCCGGCGCAGGAGGGGAGAAGACACAGCACTGACCGACGTAACCGACATATTCAAGGCTCTAAACCAAACCGCAGAAGCCGGATTACAACAGTAGCTGCTGCGTGCGGAGCGTGGACTCACGCAACATCGTAGCAGGTCAGTCGTCGATTGCACTTCAGCAATTCCGACAGTAGATGCCTCCCACAGCAACATGTGAACTTTCTGGGGGCGGTGTCTTGTGGCTACTTTGTCCCGGCATGCCTTTTTGATCTGGGGTTGGGCGTTTGTGCTCAGCTCTTTGCCGTCGCGGATTTCGGTTCGATGCGGTTCACTGTGCAGGTTTTTCAGCCTCGAAGCTTAAGCCATGTGGGACTCATTGTTCAGGCTTCTTGAGGATGCATGTTAGAGCTAAGGATGGCTGAATCTACATCGCACGGTTAGGTATTATTCATTTCATTTGCTACCAGGAAGGTTTTATGCAAGGACAACGGGTGATATCTTGACAAGTTGTTCCTGACATCATTTCTTATCGGGAGAGACAAGTTGTGCCGGCATGCTTCTTGCATGAGGGCGCACCACCAAGGATCAGCCGGCTACCCAGAATTCGAAGTGCTTCCAATCTAAAGTTCGACTAGGGTTCTTTCAAGGGCCCCATGTGGGTTGAGGCTGCCAGCTAGGCCGTACAATGGGGAAAACCGGGGTAAACATGTTTTGCGTGAAAATAGAAGTTTCCTCGGGCTGTGAGATATCCCGATACGCTTGGTTCTGTTGACTTGATTAATTATAGTGCCGTCCAGCAGGCCCCTTCCACTTAACCCAGTTGGATGAAGGTGGATCTAGTCGCCCGGAGGCGACATGGCTGCCGCATCCTCAAACATGTCCAGTGCTTGATAACTAGACTTGCATGTGAAGTCTCGCCCTCCCACTGGAGGCGACTGCGAGCAGGCCTCCGAAGAAGAAAGGTGATGCACCGACTTCCACAGCATCGGAAGCTGCAAGAGGGAGCACAGCAGGGAACCTTGCAGCGAACGCTCGAGTTCGCTTGGTTGGCCTGGAAGCCTTTGTGGATCTCAATGACCAGCTGGGAACACTGCTTTCCTTCGATGGCTCCCGAGGTAGATGGCAGGTGCGTCTGGACTCTGGGCAGGTGAAGAATGTCCGGGTGAACAATCTTGTGAACATCGCTCAGACTCCGCCAGAGGAGGGGAAGCCAGCAAGGGGCGTCAAGCGCACTGCGGAGGTGGTTTGCTTGAAACCCCAGGCCACCCCCTTGCGATCCGGCGCAGGGAAAAGGCAGGCTCCCAGCGCGAAGAGCAAGGCCAAGGCCGGGGGACGGAGCTTTGAAGTGGGCTGTGAGGATTTTCGGCAGCTCTTCCATGCAAAGGGCCCCTGAAGCTCAAGGGCTCTGCAGAGAGAGCAGGTTCTTGAAGCTGCCCCAAAAGCTTTGGTGCAAAGGCCACAGCCTCGGCTTGCATCTTCTCATCCATGCCTGCTTCAACAAGAGGGCTGTTCTGCAGCCTCTTTCCATACATTATGTATACACATTGTGACATGTGCATGTCTGTCTGTCTGTCTGTCTGTCTGTATGTATGTATGTATGTATGTATGAATGTATATGTATATATATATGTATATGTATACATACATATGCACATGGTTATTTATTTGTTTATGCATATTTTGATGTGCACGGACCTCATCTCAGTAGCTAAGTAGACAGAGGTTAAAAGTTTACATCGGCAGACATACAGAGAGAGCAAGAGCCTCTGAGAAAGAGGTGAACTCAGCCGCACGCGAGCAAAGAAACAGGAGGTGGAAGCTTTCGTGTTGAGCAGTTCCAGTCTGGGTTTGAGGGCTTCAGCCGCAGTTCAGGGGGTCTCACAGATGGAGTGGGAAGTTCGGGGCAGCAGTCACCGGATCCTCGTAGTAGTGTCGAGTTAACAGGGAGGGCACTTCCACAGTCGGTCCTCACTTACGTTGCGTATGCGCTCGGAGCAGGATGCGAATGCCTTGTACGCATGACATGCATTTACCAAGTCACAAGTCATAGGAGCATGAGTCTGGAGTTCCTGAACCTTGCTAAGTTTCATGCTCCTGTAAAGCTACCGACAAATGTAGGCCACATGCACAGCAGCACCCAGGTCCACCATCCCAAGACCCAACCGGCCGGCGTCGGGCTCAGACGACTGCAGGGCTTGTCCTGGTCATGCTTGAGGCTGCCAAGCTTGGATTTGGGTAGTTCAGGATTATTTATGGTCACTTCGAGTCTCGGACAGCCTTGGAGTTTAACTTTCTGGCCCTGGGGATGTTCCTCAACACTGCCGTTGGAGCCCACGATGCTCAGAAGTTGGTTTGCTTGGGGTAAAAAGGACTGCGTGACATGAGTGGTTGAAGTTGTCAATGATTTTCGTCGTCATCGTCATCATCATTCCAATTCTCTCCATAATGTTGATTCTCGTCATCATCAACATCACCGTCACCATCATCGTCATATTGGTTGTTTCCTCCTCCTCCACATCCTCCTCCTCTTCCTGATGTATCACTGTCACTATCCCCGTCTTCATCGTCATCCTCGTCATCCCCATCATTCCCTTTATCTCCAGCATGTGTGTTGTCGTCGTGAAACACCCTGATCATCATCATCAGCAGCAGCAGCATCATCTTCAACACCATTACTATTGTTATCAGTATTAGCATTGCTTTTGGTACTATATTATTATCGCCACTAGTAACCAGTATTATTATCATTACTACTACTACTACTACTACTACCACCACCACTGCTACCACTGCTACCACTACTACCACTACTACCACTACTACCACTACTACTACTACTACGACGACGACGACGACGACGACGACGACGCCGGCGACGACGACGACGACGACNNACGACGACGACGACGAGGACGACGATCACGACGATTCTTATTGTCATTCCCAGTATTACTGGTATTCTCAGTATCATTATCATCATCAGTGCTGGTGTTACTAGTATTGTAATTACAGTACTATCTTTATTGTAACGACGACTCGGCGACGACGACGACGACGAC